TTTTTTCTGAACCCCGGTCTCACCACAGGCTGCCAACAGATAACTCGCATGCGCGGCCGCCTCCTCAGGCTTGCGTCTCATGAAAACCTGACGCATTGTGTCCATCCTCCTCGGCAGCCCGACTTGATAAACTCCCAGACGATCCTCAGGTCCAGCATGGTAGCGTGGTCTTTCTCGGGTACCCCAGAACGACAACGTCGTGACTGACGTGCGGTCCGCAAGTGTCGAGGCAGAACGCCAGCCTTGTCCGAACCTGAAATGAACGATGCAGGTGGCATCTCTCTGATATCGGCCAATAATCCATCCTTCTCCAAACGCCCATCCGACCGAGCCTCCCCAGAGGGGGTCATCATCATCCCGTCATGATAACCATGGAATGAATACGCGATGCCTGCGACCCCATTATCCCCCTCAACTCCAAGCCGTGTATTTCTTTGCTGCCTCGGCATCAGAGAAACACCGCGAAACTGCAAGAAATTGAAAAGCTGGAGGGCATTCCGAAATCATCAACCACAGCTATTTCCTCTTTCTACCCGGCGCCCAATCCAGGAGACTAAGGTTCAAAGCAAGGGAAAATAAAAGGAAAAAAAGTGCAAAAGAAAACAAGGGTCGAACATGACCCCCATCCTACCGTTGAAGCGCAAAGGGCTTTTTTTTCTCGTGTTTTTCGTAGACCAGAACACCTGTTCGTTATGTCTTGACTTGGCCGGCATGACGACGTTCGAGTGGTTATCCCCAGAGGACCGGTTCGCGTTGATGGATTAGCCCGTGCTAATGGCGTCGGCGACCCATGCAAAAAGAAAGGGTGCCGTGGGGTGCGAAGTCGTCTTCCAAGAGAAGAAAAATCGAGGGTGTCCTTTCCTCTCTGCAGGTCGGCGCGCGAAAGTATTGTTTGACCAAGAGTCGGCGTGTCGAGACTCTTGATTGGCACGATCGCTAGCCAGGCCGACCGAGTCTCTGCCCAACTCGCAGCGTTGGAGGAGACAAGGCTGGAATCTGCCACCGTAGGTGGGTACAGAGGGAAAGAGAAGATTGGGGCTATAGCAAGCAGCCACCCAATCCAAGGTGACCAACCGTCTGCGCTTGGTTGGTTGATCGCACTGCACTGGGAACGAGTGATTATGGGTGGAGTAATGATGGGGGTGAATGTGGTGTAGTTGACAAAAAGGCTCGGAAACATGTAGGGCTACATCAGGTCCTTGGAGGATGCATTAGATGCAAGGGGTATCGGTATAGTAATCGATGCTGAAGGCAAACGACGTCCGCGGCTGGGAGCAGACAGATCAGCCGGCGCACCCCGGACCCTATGACTGGTGCGAGGTGTGCTGCGGCATGCCCGACTGTGGCATCCTGTATTGCGTACTACCCTGGACATAGGGCTGATACCCTCCCATGGGGTCCATGCCGGGAGGCATATTGTACTGAGGCATGCCGTGCGGGTGCTGCGACATTCCCGGTGGCCTCGGGGCCTGCTGCGGCATATTGGCGCTGGGTGCCTCCTCTGGCGAGTCCATTTGGCCATCATCAACGCCGTTCTCGTTACCGGGAGCCGGCTCGGGCGCATTGAGGCATGCCTGTGGTGGAGAGACATGTTAGCGTCCAGGGCCGACACATGCAGTCAGAGGAACGCACATGGCCGCGCCACGCGTCCACAACGCGACAACAACGGCGCGGCGCGTTGGCTGCAACACGTACCTGGATCAAGTTTTTGCCCTCAGCTTTCGTGACCAATGGCTGCAGCTTGGGCGTCGTAAATGTGTAGACTAGGCCGGTCTCGGAGACGACGAGAAGGAGAACCTGTGTTCCGGTAAGGACGGACAGCTCGTAGGCCTAAAGTGGAGGAAGCCGACAGTTAGCAGAACGGACGGGGTGACTGGCGGCGCAGAGCAAAGCAGGCTCCATCCGTGGAATCATGACCATGGCCCGTGGAATCATGACAATGAGCGAAGGGGAAGAGATTGACAACGAGGGCAATGTCGCGACAAGTCAAGCGCGGCGTGGCAATGCGCTCCAGAGGGAAAGAAAGGCCGGTCGGCCGGGGCGGGGTGGGAAAATTCTTTGCATCTGAACGAACCTTTTTCATGATTCCTGCCTTGCGCTTGGAGAAGGTGATGTGACGACGCGACTTGTCATTAATAAACTTGATCTCAATCTTCCTTCTCTCGCGACCGCCCTTCTCGTCATCCTCATCATCGTCGTCGGCGGCGCTGGCACGCTGGCGCTTGACGCCTCGGCTCTCTCCGGCAGGCGCGTTGCCGTTGCCTGCAGAATGCGCGTCGTCGCCGAGCTCCGTGGGGGAGGTCTGCTCGTGTTGGTCTGTGATGTCGGCCATTGTGGGAACCGAGGCAGCTGCCAAACCAAAAGGGCTGATGTGGGTGAAGGGGCGGACGAATATGCTGTTTCGAGGTTGTTCCGCCGATGACCTATACTGGATCTGGCCCTTTTTGCGGAGAGTGTGGTTCGGGTTGGAGTTGCCTGATTGTCGCGCAGAAACCTGGTTGGGTGCTGGCGACGGGACTGGGCTGGCCTGCTTGCTATATCGAGTCTGGTGTGTGCCCGCCGGGACGGGAACGCGACAAGAGAAAAAAAAACTGGGGGCGGCTCCTTATTTGCCCCAGACTGTTTTGGGTGCCTGGCGATTGCTGCGATGCGCGCTCGTGTGCTGCGGCGACAATGAACCTATGGAGACGATTGCCAAAATGCAGTCGCTTCCGAAACAGGCAGGACAGGGTCCAGAAAAAGGTGATCCGAAATAGGAATAAAATCAAATCAAAAAGGCAGGGCAGGGCAGGGTATGCAAAGCACCAAAGCAGAGAAAAAACACCGAGGCTGGCGACGAAGTGCACACCAGCTCAATTGTCTGGCTTCGGGACTTGCTTGTGCGAGGGAGAGAGCCTCCACAAACGCCTCTGGAGGAGACACACGTCAAAAAGATGTTAGAGAAGACTAGATACGCGGGACCCTTTGGCAAGCTTACAAGCCTAAGGCAGGCCGCTTTAGGAAAGGCAAGCGGCGGGTTAGGCAGGCGGTAGGGCCGGGTCGAGGGATTTGATGCGGCTGGTCCACCCGACAGCGTGACAGTCGACGGAAACGTGGTTGTGTGCAGATTGGTCGTGGGTAGGAGAGAGAGGACGGGAAGGCGATGGCCAGAAGAAGAAAAAGAAAAAAGAGGGCTGCACAGGCCGAAAAGAGAAAAATGTGCCAGGAAGCCGTGCAAAACGAAATGGACGTTTTGGTATCACGGCGTGTGCACACGCTCTCGGGCGGGAAAATCAGGCAGGTCCAGGTAGGGGAACCCTCGACTTGATCGGGCAGGCCCTCAGCGACTGCAGGTCTTGAGTGAAAAGAGGATAGTGAGGTGGTAGCACGGGCTCTTCTGCGGGAACAAACCACCGAAGGGTTAAAAAAAAACTGAACGGGCGGGGAGGGGAAAGGGGAGAAGAGGTTGGGTCTAGCTTTCCAAACGGGGGAAGGTGGGAGGACGGACAGGTACGGGCACCGTGCAGCCTTCAAAAGGATTTCTTGAAAGGGAAAAGAGGGGAAGGAAAAAATGAAATTGATTCGGGGAAAAAACAAGAACAGAAGAAAAAAAAAAGACGATAAAAGCAAAAAGCACTAGCAGGGGTGGATTCCTGACCTAGCGACCACTGGCCGCCGCGCCCACATGCACAGCGGCACCGCGTGCACGGGTTGCAGCCACCGAGCAGGGGTTCGAGTGGGATGGAAGTGGAGCATTCAGGACAAGGGAAGAAAGAGGGAGAGGGAGAGCCCACCGTCGAAGACGTGCCAAACCGAAATCTCAAAACGGTGCCCACCTTTTATCAGAACGTGTCGACACGGTGCTGGCCTTCGCCTGCAGAAGAAGGAAGCTACGGTGTGACCTCCGCGACCGACCTACTAGCCGCCGACAACAATCTCCGAAAAACGGGCCTTGACGGTCTGCACACCGAGCGTTGAGCTGGCAAGACGCTGCCGCGCACGAGATGTGTGGCATGTATGGTACCTCCTTTGGGAGAAGAGCGACAGGGCGGGCGATTGAGCGCAGATTACCCAGGGCTGAGTGTTTCCCACCGTGCAGCAGCAGCAGCAGCAGCGGCCGCAGGCGAACAATACACCTCGGTCCAAGCACCCGCCGACCACCAACCGGCTTACTCCTCCGTAAACCGCAGGGGGTCGGTGTGTGGGTGTGGGTGCTGTCGACGCGATTTGACCGCTCAACAGTCTGGCGTCGGGCAAACTGGCACCGTCAGGGACCCCCCCGTCTCTGGTCGCATCTCTGGTGGGCAAAGGGATGTCAACCGACCGGGACCGGAGTTTGCAAGATGGAACATTTTGGAGGGAGGGGGCTTGGGGGGAAAGAGAGGAGGGCGAGAAGAGACGTGCGTGCGTGCGTGCGTGCGTGCGTGCGTGATCGATCAATGTTACAGAAGGCGACCACCACCAACCCAGCCCAGGCAGGAGGACCACTCGCACAACCCACCCAAATCAGAAGCAGCAGTCCAGCAGTCAACCTGTGCCTTCCGTCTCGTGGGGGCAGGCAAATGGCAGTCGCCGCCGACGCTTGAGGGAAGGCGGTGAATCCTGTTCTTTGCATTAGGGGGAAGGTGCATGGCGTCCATCTGCGCGTTTGAGCTCATTTTTTCTCTCTCTCTTGTCTGGACTACGCTCAACTTGCTCTGGCTCCAGTAGTGCGCGGGGAGCGAGGCAGGCGGAAACAGGGGACAGAGAAAGAGACGGGCCACCGAGAGCATGACACACGGCGGGCGGGCGGGCGCGCTGCGACGAACCAGTCGCTACTGAACTCTATGAAAAGCGCCGGCTTGTGATTGGGAAACCACGACAAGCGTTGTCCGCTCATGCGTGTTGTGAAAGAAAGGAGGCAGAGACAGAATGTGTGTGCGTGCACCGACAGCAGGTGTGTGTGGAATGCATCGTCGTCTGAGCTGCACTTGCTTCTGGAACAGGGAATGCACCAAACCAGAGAGGGGAAGGGAGGAAAGAAGCAGGAATACAAAAAAAAAAACACCGTGCGCTTCGGCAGCCGCCGTTGGCATGTTGAAGCGTGCGTCGTGACAGGTTTTGTTTCCGTTTGTTCGTTTGACGCGCTGGGCCCTTCCGTCTAGTGTGCTCGGCCGCTTCTTTTCTTTCTCCTAGGTTCCCCTTTTTGGCCAACGCTCCTTCAGGACGGCTTCCCTTCCTTCCCAAGAACCACCCCCAGCTTTGCGATCTGTCAGTTCCAATATGACAGGGTCGAGGGTAGGTTACTGTGTAAACGTATCTCCCCCAATATCAAAAGAGATAGCCAATCGATCAAATCAAACACTATTCTTTATTTCTTTTTCTGGTGGATACGGTTCTCGTCGGCCGGGTTTCGGAAACGGCCCAACCAGGCACAGCGGTCTTATTTGAAGAGGGATGCGCCTGCCCTTCATTCAACCTTCCAGCCTGAAATTTAGCCCTGCAACTAAAAATCCCTTCCAAATTTCTCCGACCCGAGCGAGGTTCAGCCTGCCTTTGGTTTTCCAGGCATGCGGCTCCCCTCCTCCCAGGTGTCCTCTCAGGGTCAGCCGTAGAAAGTCGTCATACAGGATGTGACGGGCAGTGCTCGATGGTGTTGCAGCGTGCAAGTCATACCCATCCGCCGGACCTGGCGGAGCACAAACGCGATAGGCGTTTGGGGTAGCACTGGGCCATCTCTCGCGAACGAGCGGGAACCCGGGATGCCTCTCGATAACCTCAGGGCCCGTCCCTGCAAAAACGCGGGCCTGGTTGGCTTTTTTCCCTGCTTCCTGTGGGTCCCGTCCATCTCGCCTACAGCTGCTTGTGCTGCAGGCAAATCTCTGTTCCATTTGCCTCCCGGACTGGCTGGCCTCAGCTCCAAACATCTTCCCAGACGAGTCCCGTGGTCTCACTCGTTCGGTCTTTGCCAATTTTAGCACACCGCCCGGTTCCTATTGGATTGACAATCTGGCAACAACCTTCTCTCTATCTCGTCAATGAACACCACCCCCGGCCCGCCGGCATGGCATGGGCATGGGCATGGGCATGGGTATGGGGGCATGGCTGGAGCTGGGTTCTGGCCACACAGTACGAAGTCTCGGACAACCCACTCGACTCTCCTCGAGCTCCTCGAGCTCCTCGAGTCCTCTCACCAGATCCCCTCTCTGACCGGGGCAGGGCTGTGGACGGGCCTGGGGCCCAAGTCGCCTGCCGCTGCGCCGGGATAAGTCTTGGTACGCTACCGACACAGTCAGAAGCGCATTTTACTGTGCATACCATGATAATAACACGGGGTGATATTGCATGCGAAGGCCTGGCCCATGGGGTTTGAAGGGGCACGCATCCAATTAATAACGCGACCCGGCGGGGCGACGTGCAGGCCGTCATTTGGGGTGGTGCCCATGTTCGCTCGTCACCAGTGGTGGGATTGCCCGGTTGCTTGCTGCACAGCCTAGGGAGGGAGTGGTTCTGGGGTTCTGGGATGCTGGGGCGTGGTACTGAGATTCTGGCGTGTCGTTCAGGCCCGATGCTGCGCAGAGCGCCTCCCCGGATGCGCCGTCGTCTTCGTAATGGGCCGCAGGGGTGCACAATATGGAGGCGGCCGGGAGACTGTGAGGAATTGCGACGAGCGGGATGGGCTGGAGAGGTCTGCCTTCGCATCGGGGGGAGGAGGGGAAGAGGGTGACGGAGGAGCAGGAATGGGCCGGATCGAAATCACGGGACGTTCAACAGGCATCCGTCACATCGCCATTTCTTTCTCACTCACTAGCGGGCTTTTCTTCCGCGCGTGCGGATGGGGCTTCCGGCAGTGTGCTCCCGCGCTGGCGACGCGTCTCTGAGTGGTCGCCCGCTCTTCTGCTCAGGTGGGTGAGGGGCTGGCTGGGGGAGGGAGCACAGAGGGTAAGGGGGCAAGGGGGGCAAGGGTGCTGGCTCGCTCGCTCTTCAGTTTTGCGGTTGCATCGGGCTGAGCGAAGAACTGCTCTCTTTTGCTCGGCCTCGCAGGACGCACTGCCAGCCGCCGAACCTCGCACACCCCAGTCCTCTCCACTGGCGCTCGCGCGTCCCCTCCTACCCCTCGCCATTCTCTTCTGACCAATTCACACCGGTCGTCTCAAGCCCACCGGCCGGCGGGCATAGCAGACAGGAATAATGGTTCCAGCTGGATGGTGTGACAGCAAGTAAAGGCCGTGCCAAAGCCACCTTACTGAGTCGAGGCACTGGGTCGAGGTACCTCATCCTTTCCCCGTTGGGGTTTCTGCGAGGCCGCCAGCCAAGCGGCATCTTCCCTCGCGCGTCTCCGCCCCCATCGCCAGGGTGGACTCGCGGCGGGAACGGACGGGGAGAGGGCGGCGTGCAGGGCAGGGCCAAGGGTGGTGGCAGTCGACATTCAAACGGAATGCTTGGGAGTGTGGGAAATAATAGGGGGTTTCCGGGGGGTAGCGCGCGTGCAGCTGCCAACGCAACCTGCCGCTCCGAATTCTGCGCTATCGAATTCGACATGCATTTTGCCTTTGACGAGCAGGGGGGAGGCCTTCAAGCTAAAGGGCGGGGGGGATACGATTACGGGGAGAGCTTTGTTGGCTGTATTACTGTGAGGAAACGTTAAGCACAGTCGAGACGGATCTCCGTTGACCACGAAGCGATGTTACTTTTTTCCGTTTTTTTTTCCCTGCTACGCATGCCTATCCCTCAGCCGCTGTACCGCCTGACCTACCTCTGGCTTCCATTCTCTCGGACCACTGTGCGTTAAAGCGGATGAGATCAGACAGCGCCTGTCATGAACATGCAGCCAAAACCCCCCACTGCCGTGCGTCCAGGCACCACTGGGGGAGATATCGCGTACTACCCCAGGGAAAGATAGCATGGGGCAGATGAAGAACATCAGTTGTGCCAACCGCGCCGCCGTCTCCAGCAGAGTCTGGGCCTTACTAGTGCCCGTGTTCGGGCCGTCACATAGAAGGAAACAAACGAAAAAGAAAGGAATAAAAACGAGGACGATCCACCTGGGATGGCGTAAAGAGACCGACGGCGCCAAATGGCCGATGAGATATGCCGAAAGAAAGTAAAATAACAATAATGATAAGAAAATAAGAGTAGCAGCAAGGATGTCGAGAGGCGGGGTTTGCGAACGCAAATAGCGCATGATGAACGTGGCAGCAGGGTGGCGGTCATCATTTGACGGAAGTAGACTCCCCTAGCTAGCATGGGCGAGAAAAAAAAAACGACAAAGAGACGGCGGTGATCTGCTACCATCCGTCGGCCATAACCCTGCAAGATCCCAGGGGTCTTTGGCGGTGGGACGGGCTGGGGAGGATTGCGCATCGCTCCCACCTTGGGGCTTGCATGGCTTGGGAGGGGGGGCTGGGTTGGCAGGTTTACCGTCACCAATCGCTTGACGACATCGCGAGGCTGCCTACCATACCCTGCCCTGCCCCGCCCTGCCCTGCCATATACCTGTCTGTTTATCGACGTGCGGCGGACAAGCGTCCCCCCCAGCCCAGAAGCCCAGCCCCTCGGGGAGTCCGTGTCGTGTCCTTCTCTTCGCTGATGGGCGCGCGCTAGGTCCGCTCGGAAGATGGTGATCTGCGCGCGCCTGTGGGGAGAGGAAGGCTCCTCTTCCTCCTCCGCTCCCCCCCCCTCCTCTCTCTCTCCCGTGTTCTCCTCCCCCATCTGGGGCTGTGATGTAGGTGGTAGGCGGTAACAGCACTCAAAAGAAGAAGAAGAAGAAGTATCAGGCGCGCGGGCCAACGCACCTTTGGAGCGCTAGCTGCTTCTTCCGGAAGCCTGCCCTGCCCTGATTAGCCAGTCTGCCGTGGCCCCCAAGCCTGCTGTGTCAGTTGTGATGACTCAGCAGAGTTGTCTTGGCCCAAGTTGGGCCGGCCCGAACCTGGGTCGCTTCGTCGCACAGGCTGCCTAAATTTTCCGGTATGGAAGAAACCGGGCGGGCTCGCGGTGCTTCAAACCCGAGCCCCGAAGGAGTTAGTTACCTTTGGGTAGGCGTCGGCATCCTTGCCGACAAGGCTGGCTAAAAGGATCAAACCAAACACAAACCTAAACATCACGGCCAGGGACTTGGCGCTTGCCAAATGCCGTCTTTGCCTTGCCCCAGACCCGCCGCCACTCTCGACGCTATCCACGGAACACCCTTGGTTGGGGGGCCAGTCGGCGGTAGCCGTCAATAGGGGGACCCCTGCAAGGCTGGTTCTACAACACGAACACAGCGTCGGCGCTTGTGGTGCTTGGGGCCGAGGAACCACCGATTCGGATGCGTTATTGCTTCTTTTTCTCACGTCTGAAAGGTAATCCCGGAGACGTCGGACTATTGGACAGATCTTCACCGGTCGCCAGGGCGGCGAACGCGGACTCGGCCCGGCTTGGGGATATGAGTAATCGGGCCTGATACGATGAGGCTGGATACACGAAGCATCAAGTGATGGGGCTGATTACTGACACGGCATAATGACATGCACATCGATTGATGGATGCCAAAGCCTCACGGCCAGCGGCTCCAGATACAATGCAAGCTAGGCGCAACAGCCGCCGCTTATCGTTTATCGCTTATCGCTTATCCAGCCAGCCGCGCATCGCCTACTCAGCCAATCGGCCATACGCAGCATTCCAAGAGTCAGCGACGCGCGCACAGCCAGCCCTTGTCGGTCAAAGCAAGCACTTCGCTGGCTGCGTAGCATTCCCTCGGATGCTTACAGTATGACGAGTACTACGCCGTGCCCGCACATGATGACACCCCAAAGCCCGTGAGCCCCCCCTCCCGACACTATTGTCTACCAACGTGGGATCAATCGTCGATCCCGTCGAGGCGGCGGCAGACGGGCTTCCGCCGCGGCTGGGCCGTTGGTTTGCAGGAGCGCGGCTATGGTCACTTGACCTCTGCTTCGGATCTGCTTCGGAGGTGGTCTGTTGGCAGCAAGCCGGCGCTTAAGGGCGGAACATCCATCACTTTTGTTTTTTTTTGTTCGCTCCTGCATGGAGCCGACGGTAGAGGCTCTGCTCGCTGTGGGCCAATCGAGCCTCACGGTGGTATCCGCTCGGACGGCGGTGCTTTGATCAGGAATATGCGATTGGCTCCCGACGACGGTTGACGTCTCTTTTTTCTTTGTTTAGGCTCGGCTGTTTCCACCCTGCCCCTTTTTCTCCTTCCTCGTCTTCGGACACTTTCTAACCAACCCCCCCTCTAGCGACAAATAACGGACGACGAAAAAGGGCTGATTGAGCAAACAAAGCATGCCGTCATGACCCAGACGGGCCAGTTCCCGGATGGAAAATCGTCATGTTGACATCCCACTTGGTCCCAGATGCACGACTCTGCGGTGCCAGGCGTGCTGTTTCGATTCTGGTGTCATGGCGTTTCCTTGCCCCCATTTCTGGCAGATCCACCTCGATTGATTGGCCCGAGTCGCCCCGTGCCTGGCCTGACAATGTGGCTGGCTCGAAAGGGCTTTTCTCTGGGTTAGGGGGGTCGGGGACCTGCAGGTGGCTCGTGCTGGGGGCGGAATGGGCGAATTGGCGTTGGGACCCATACAAAAGAGCCGCCAGAAGGGAAAAATTGCAATGCGCCCAAGGCTTCTTAGAGCCACAGCCACCCCTGTCTCCCGACCGCATCTGAAACCGCAGTCGTCTGAGGGACCGCATCACCAGCGGCCTGCCCTCGCCTCAGGGTCTTCCCCCCCGAAAGCCCAGGCCAGCTGGGCTGGTAGTAGAGTGGGCGGCCACGGGCTGGTTGGGCGCCTGGTGTGAGAGGCATGCTTGAGACCCGTGTCGGGCTGGTGGGACGGGAAAATGCTCTGCACGCCTCGCATCTTTTTTTTCCTTGGTCGCCCGACGCTTCTCCCATTCCTGCCGGCCACCACCAACAACCTGCCACCCCTATTCCCATCCTAATCCCATTCTCTTCTCCCTCCTGGCTAGAGGCTTTCTTACACGGTAGTAGCAGCAGGGCTTGCCTGGGATTTTGCTTGCCACACACCTTGTTTGACGTCGCACCCTCTTTCCCGTCTTTGCTCGTTCGTCGTTGTTGCTGCTCCTCCATCGAGTTTCACAGTCACAGTCACTCCCTTTTTTTCTCATCGCGAGACCAACCACACTCCTTAACCCGCCCTTTTCCCTTCTCCCGTTTACGGTCCGCTTCGACAGTGGACGGCGGGTTTTTTTTTGTTCTGTATTGTCCTTCGGCCCGAGAGTTGCTGGTCGACGTGCATTGCGAGTGCGAGCGAGCTCCTGCATCGTCATCATCAACACCAAAGCACAGTCGACATTCCGTCTGACTGTAGCTGCGTCCGACGGCACTGCTTCTTCCCTCGACCACCCCGACTTACTTCCCCCGGCAAGCAACAACACAGCCCTACGCCCACCTACCACATCGACCTCGTTGATCCCTCCGAGGGCACCGACCGCCACTGACGCCGGACGTCGAGTTGACCGATTACGCTCTTTATTCGATATCGTGCTTGCCTGGTAGAAGGAACCGTAGAGAGGAAACCTGAAGGATAATCGCCCGCCCGGGAGGGACGAGCCCATAAACCCCCCAACAACAAACCAAAAAAAAAAACACCCCCTTGCCGATAATTCCATCTCGGACGAAATCGGCAAACCAAAATGGCGAACAAGATCCTCGTGTCCTATGTCGTCGCCGACTTCCTCTTCGTCCTGATGGGCGCCTTCATGCTCGGCTTCTCGGTCGTGGTGCAGAACGTGCGCGACGAGGTCCCGACCGAGGGCGAGCAGGCGGCCCGCAACCTGCTGTACCAGGACTTCCCGCTGACGGCAGGCATCGTCAATGCCGTCTTCATCTTCGTCACCTTCGCCCTCACCATCCCGGCCGTCGCGACCCCGACCCGGGGCTGGCTCAAGATGTCGGGCTACCTGGTGGTGGTCAACGCGCTCTTCACGCTCTGCATCGGCACCTTCCTCTGGGTCACGACGCTCAAGACGCGCGAGGCCCTCTCGCCCATCTGGAACGCCCAGTCCGCCGGCGTCCAGTCGCTCATGGAGCAGCAGTTCAAGTGCTGCGGCTACTTCAACAGCACCGCCCCGGCCTTTGTCACCAACTCGGTCTGCCCCAGCCCGGCCGCCGCCGCCCTCATGAAGGGGTGCGCCTCCCCGCTGACGAGCTACGCAAACACCTTTGTCGACAGCATCTTTACGGCCGTCTACGGCATGTGCGGTATGTTTTTTTTTTGTTTTTTTTAATTTTCTTGTCCCTCTCATGTATGTTGAGGTTTTGATGTGTATCACGTGCTAATATCATGCCCTCGACAGGTATCGATGCTCTCCTGATCATGGCCACCGCCTGCCTACTCAAGGAGCGCAAGGAGCAGGAGCGCTTCCGTCACATTGACGAGAAGAGCGGCACCCTGTAAATCTGACCGCTCCTTTTTTTTTTTTTTGTACATGCGGGCCCTGGAAGGCCCCCAAGACAACAATAAAACGAGGACTTTTGCCCTCTTTCTCTCTCTCTCTCTCCCCGCCTCGTGTCATCGCCCCATCGTCTGAATTCTTTTCCCGTTTCACTCCTCCCTCCGAGCGAATCCGAGAACTCGGGGGGCCCCCCGCGGCTCGCCGAAGGGGAGCCAGATGTTGGGGGCGAGGGGAAGAGGGGAGATGGGGGGAATTTTACCGACCGACCGACACACTTTTGTCCAATGACGTGTC